GCTTAGTATATTAGTAATTATGTTATGCATAGGTGTCTAGGTAAGTCTCACAAGTTCTTGGACAGGTTTTATTCCTACATCAGTGGAAGAATGCCAGAGAAAGCTCACCTTCCATGATGCTGAAAAGGATTGTAGAAACACATTCAGAGAGAGGTCATTTTATAAAATAGTCTTATGTGCATTTTAAAGGTAAAAATATCACTTCTGTGAATATCAAAATAAGGAACAAATCCTGCTTTCGAAGATTTCTGCTCTTCACATCCTAAATCATTTTTTATCTACAGGTATTACTTTAATGTTAGTTGGATAAGTCAGTCTGATTTTGTTTCACTAGTGCCTTGTTTACAGAATCATAGATATATAAATACAGCAGCATCAGTTGTGAATATATAAAACATAAACCTTTCCTGCTCTTTCTGATGACTGAAGAAGTTTGGTTGTTGCAGTTTTTTCACATAGTTGAACTGTTACATACAAGGTGGAGTGTTTTTGAGTAAATGGCTTTTGGCTATTTCCTCTTTAGCTAGTAATTGAATGGAAATCTTCCATCAGCAAGCACAATACGCTTGTTTAGAATATATAACATTTGCCTATGAAGAAATCAGTATTTGAATCATACTTAGAACCTGAATAGAATGAGGAGAAGGAATTTCCCACTTCTTAATGATTAGTTGGCTTTCTGTCACCTGAAATTCACTTTCTAAGTGGACATTTAAAATCAAATGAGATGCCTAAAAGTATTAACCCTATTTCTTTAAAATAATTTACTCACTAGTAAATGCCAGAGAATTCCCTCAGGCCTCCTTTGTAGCCAGTGTACGGAGACAACATAGTGCTGAAAAAAAGATATGTACCTCCATGATCTTTAAGAAGCAGAAAATAGAGAGTGGCCTCCAACTGTTGTTTGTATACCACCCAGAGTCACTTTGTGTGAGATGGGCAGCTATATAAATATGATGAATAAATAAATAAAAATAAAAACTACAAATCTATGCTTTTAATAGGTGTTCCCAGCAATTAGA